GAACTTATCCTCGCCAGCTGGCAAGGGGACTTCAAGAGTAGAAGTAAAACATCTCATTCACACATTGCATTTGCACATTATGTTAGAACAGCAAGTCACTTCTACAACATCGTGCTTCACAGTCGAGAGGGGAAAAGAACCTAAAATGTGCCTCTCTGCAAGCAGCTCCTCACCCTACTCTGTTCTCRCTGAAGACAGTCTTGATTGCAAACAATCCTGTCCTTCTAAAGGGGTTATACAAAGCAGTTGKTTTTTAAAGTTACCAACTCCTGACTATCAACAATGGAATATAATCATTATTTTATTTAAAAGGTAACAAATCTTTATATTTAAGATCACAAAGTTGGCAAAACCTATACTTAAATAACAGACGGTGATCATTTGCATTTCAAAATTCATCTATCTTGCTTTTCCCTCAATTAGACCAAAACATGTTGATTCACAGGTTTGTGTGTGTGTGTTTGTTTCTTTTTTAAACTTATTTAGAAAGCAGAATAATGGCCCCCCTGCTAGGCTGGCATTTGCTCAAGTTTCTGTCCGTGTAAATTGAATCTGTTACTGGAATTTTCCCCCCTTCAGAATAGCAAGGCACATTAAGCAAGAGATAAAGAGATACATTGCCGATATTATCAAGCACGAGGCAGGTGGATAATGTGAGAGATTTTTTGTTAGTTTTGGTGGTTTTTTTGACAAATAAGTGATAAGAGTTCTCAGGGGGCATGGAGAGCAAAGGGCTGTTTAAACAGAAGTGAATCATTCTCATCTGATCTAGTAATAACTTTATATTTAAACATCAGCTGCTTAGCACCCTTTGAAATACTCAAACATAGAATTATTGTAAAGAGGAGGAAAGTAACAAAACTCTAAACCTAACATTAGTCACCCTAACTGCATTAACAGATCAGAAATCCTCACGAACGACTTTTTAATTTCTTCTTTAAAAGTAAACAGGTTATTCTTGGCCAAAACCCCTACGATTTTACTTGAAGTGCTGTTGAGTTTRTAGGGGATGATTTATAATCCATCACTTCCCTTGTGGGTTAGAGAAACAACATTTGACTTATCATAGGTGAACAGCAAAGATTTGGCTTGGCCATTAATCAAAGGATAGCACAGCCACTACTTTTAAGCATCTGCAGAGAGCTTTGTTGTTACAGGAGCTGCTTCAACGTGAACTTCTCCACCGAGCAGAACTAGGCGAGCAGTAAAAAGAGTTGTCCAATTTTACGAGCAGATTGGACAGTACTACAACGCACCATTACTCTGAGCGCCTAAGTACAGTTCTTGATATGCAAATCATTACAAATAAGCCCCGTCTTTAGCGCTCATGTGAAGTTAGGCACRTCAGAGGCGCTAAGTGCAAGGGCGAAATGCGTTAATGGTACAATGCCACCTGCCGTCAGCCGCGGAGAAACGTAACCTCCCGCGCAAGATTTCTCCCTGCTTTGACTTCATGCAAGATACACCACACTGCTATGTCACACAAAATTCATTATACTGGCTCCGTTAGTAGCAGCATGCAGCTTTTTAAACCGTTTTCCCCACGTCCCCCACCGTATTTTCCCCACAACCGTATTGTGGCTACATATATGTGAAGAATTATACATTTCCTCTCTGCACTTGTGGGGATAAAAAGAGCTGAGCAATTCCTCCCTGTTCACAAGGGGAAGGATCTGATCACTATTTAAGTACCAACATTAGTTTGCTTTGCTTTAGGAAAGAGTTATAACCTTGGGTACTGAAAACCTTGACCACGGAATCCTACGCTCTGAAAACAAGCTCCACACAGATGGACTTCTGCCCTCCATTGACAGTGAACAACGTCAGCTTTCATATTATTATCCTTAGCCCCTCAAGGAATTAGATTCTGATGGATCATTTGCTTTGTAGAATTTAGGTTCCAGGTTTTCCTTTAACSAATAAAGCAACGTAAATATGCCTTTAGGCACTTCACTGCTATGCACTTTATAATGTGTGCTCTAAAAAAAGTTAGAGCCTGAAACTGTATCCATTAAAAAGGTAAAATTGTATCAAATGCATGCTTATATCCGTCAAATAACTAGGCAATATAATTTCCTTAATATTTTAAATCAAGTATTTCCTACAGTCTATGAAACTTTCAGATCTCGCTCTCCTGGTTCTGACTATGTAATGTCACCCCAAAATCAATGCAAAATGGAATTACATCCAAAAAAGATTCAGTATCTGCTCCAAGTCTGTAATACCAGACCTTTGATAAAGACATCTCCTCCTTCTTACACACCCCAACTGGTACATTTTAAAAAACAAAAGTTGAAAGTGTGTGACATAAAAGTTTGGCACATGCAAATCCCAGTCTATCCTGAACTCAGATGAAAATACACAGTCCTGAATAGACTCTCTCTCAAGAGAGACACATGGAGACAAAATTCAACAAGCCAAGTTTCGGTGCATCCTTCAGGTAGTGAGRGAAAGAGGAAGGGCAACGAGGCACACAGTGCTAGACACACCAGGAAAACACCAAAGATAAAGACTCACTTTGAGTCCTTTTATTTAGTGACTGTCCTATTACAAAATAAATCATTGGACAATGGAATTTTGTGAAGATCTCAGCCTTTCTTCCAGCAGGAAAACAGGAAGCTATAAGAAACATTTAAGTTACTAAAAAGTAACTTATTGATTGAAGTCAAAATTGATTATAAAAAGAATAAAAACCCAAAGCTGTCATCTTCTCTCAATGAAATAAGTGAAGCACAAGTATAATTTCAAAATAGTTATCCCCAGAAACAGCTTGCGGAGCAACGTTATCTCCCTAAAAGGGGGACAGGAGTTCAGGGCCAAGATACACTCTGTAAAAGGAAAAACGATTATCCAAATGAGGCCTATTTGCCTAGAACACTAGYGTAGCTATGAAGAAGGCCAATTAAAATGCATTTTCTAATAATGATCAAATCCTTTAGAGCAAGATTTAGCAGAAGCTTTAAGAAAACTAATGGGCCTCTGCTATACACAATATTTAAGGTACAGCTAGTAAACCATTACTCAAAAAAAGAGTGCCTCTTGGCTCAAAAATAGGTTTGGTATTGCTAGGTTACTGCAAGTATCACTCTCCTACRCAAAAAATTGTCATCAAAGAGTTACACTAAGCTAAGAATACACTTTGCACAGACAGCATGAGGATGAGGAAACATGAAAGGTAAGACGCATGGAGCAGATTGACTCAGCTGTCTCGCCTATATCTAATATTTGCACATGCAAATCTTCATCTCATAGCTCGCTCGTTACAGGCACATATTTACATCCAGGAGTAATTTCACTGAAGTCTAATAAGGTTCCACGAATGAGAGAATCCAGATAAACAAAGCAAACTGACATTTGAGATAGGACAGAGAAGGAGGAGAGGAGAGGTGAGGAAAACTTCACCAAGAAGGAACTAAACAGATACCCGTGCTGGAAGGGTGCAGAAATACCTCTTGCATTTGAGGATTTTTCAATATTATTTCAGTTGCTCCCTGAACACTTGATTACTGCAGGAGTTGGCTGATTGGGCTTTAAGGGGGTAACGAAGATCAGTCCTTGGAAGCTTGTTAAAATACAGAAATATAATCTTTGACTTGCATAGCTCGGTAACAGTGACAGGGTGGGAAAAGGCTGCGCTCCCACCCTTGCTACACTCAGCTGGGGAGAGCTCTGTACCAGGCTGGGTTAGKGAGGCAACAAAATGCCATCTCCTCACGTGATGGACTGCACCTTGGCAGCKGGCACATCTCCCTTCCGCAAGTCACCAGAATTGCTGAGACTCTGAAATATAGAGATTCCCCTGGGTTCTTGGCCTTGAATTCAAGTTGGGGGGAGAYGGAAAGGTGTTGGCTTTTTTACCTTGGTTAAAAAGAAGAAAAGTTTTCTGTTTCTCTGTAATAGCAGCCATTTCCCATTTGTCTTGCACCTGCACAGCAAAGATTCTGCTTGACTATTAATCTTCAAAGGTGCAAATTCAATGTTTTCTTGACTTGCTACAACCTTTACTCACAGCGAGCAGTTCTCTACTGTATGTTAGTTGTGATGRGACTAAGGCACAGAATAAATGCTCAGTGCCAAACGAAGTTCAGAACTTTTCTATTGCTTCTAACATATTCTTCAGCTAAGCCACAGCAAACATGGTCAGAGGCTTGAGCTTGCAAAGTATCTTTATGACAAGTTACAAAGCCCATGCACTCAGTAGAAAAAGTATGTAGGCATTTGAAATTTCTATATAAAAGAGAGAAATTGAAATATCTGAATAGCCTTCCAGTAGTCACTTTGACTCCAAAAGTAGTATTTTAAGCTAGCCACAATTTTTTTAGAGTATCAAGTTATAAGTAAAATGGTTTAGCTATCTGAATGTTACCTGTCACTATCATTTGACCATTATATTAGGAGGAAGCAAAGTGAGAGAAGGAAGAGAGGGAGGGCTCGGTTTCAAGTGCCACCCTTGCTAAAAAAACGAAGATATTGATTTTATCATTCTCATGATAAAAGTAGTTCTAAGAAAAGAGCTCTCAACTCTTTCCAAGTCCATTGTAGCTCCTCAAAAATGTCACAGGTGTCTCTGAGCCTAATAGGACTGCGTATTTTCAACTTGTGTGCTTTCGCTTCGTGTTTTTTGCATGTACATATTTTTCTGTTTTTAAACCTCTTTGCCATCTTTTCAACTTGCCCTTTCCCTTATTTGTTCTTTTCAATTATCAGGATTTACTCACACACAGCAAATATCTGAGAGAAAACAAAACATTCCTTAAAGTTGCTTAAACAAGACATTCAATGCAATTACACTTTACACAAGAGCTCTGACAAACAACACAACAGTTCAGAAACAAAGCAGTTATCAACCATCTTACTTTTAAGACATTTAGGGAAAAAAAAAAAAAAAAAAGTAAAGCCTCTCATACATTGCATAAACTTAAGCTCTACATTATAGAGGCGAGAAAACAAAAGCTGCTCTTGTACTTTCCAAGTGAAACATTGTAGGTGATTGCTCTAACCTGGGGCACAGTACATTCTCTCTATGGCATCGTTGTCACAGGAATCTTCAACCTCCCTCCACCTGCTAAAATACGTTAGCTGAATGTGTCCTAAAAACAAAACGACAGGAGAAATCAAAACATTTTTCCCTTCCATTTTCTGCAGAAGTGAACTGTAATTACTCCTTTTGTAGCTAAAAACAGTATCATTAAGAATAATGGCATCATTAAGTACTAGAAGCTATTACTGGGGGTGAATTTGCTGCACTGATAATGAAGCTCTAGACAGGAAATGAAGATACTAATTACAAGATAAAACGCCTACTCAGTTAATTGGAAGCAACAGCGAATAAAAAGAAATGCATTTGCAAAAGTTCCTGACCTCTATCATTCAATAAGATGTTGTTTGGGTTCAAATCGCGGCACACAATTCCTTCTCTATGTAAAGCATCAAGGGCTACAACCATTTCAGCTGCCCATCTTTGAATGCAATCCTCTGGGATATAAAACCTGGAGGTTATCGCTAATCTTTCGTCGAGGTCCTGAAAAATGTGATGCATTTCCTTCTCCCCTGCTCCTGCTATTGCATCTTCACTCTTTGGTCCTGGCTTTTCACTTTCTGCTGCTGGTGACAAAGCCGGGTTGGTTTCCTCTTTCCCAAAGTCTTCACTTTGATCAGAAAACAGCAACACAGCTTCATCTTTTATCAYGTCTCTATCTAAACTAACGTCTTTAGCACCTGAGAGCGAGTTGGAAACAAATAAACTTTCTTCTTCGCTTGTCATGTTTATGGAGCGGGCTCCCAGCCCTGGAAACAGAGCCCCTTCTTCTGAACTACCTACCTCTGGTTCAGCTGTGAACAGCCTCCCAAGAGCTCCCTCAGTGACACCGCTCTGTCCGTCTGCTTCTTCATGGGAAGAATTGCCCAAYTCTGGTGCCACATGATTTGGCTCTTGATCAAAAGCTTTGCATTGTTCTGCAGAATTATTTAATTGTAAGACATCAGGCGTCTCTAATAATTTTACCTCCAAAATGTTTATATCAGTTTTTGTAAACTTTGTGGGCCTCGACACTGCTGCCTCCTCTGTTTCATCATCCACGCCAGGTAAGTTTATTAGGAGATCGGGCCTTCCTTCATCAACACTACTTACATCATCAAAAGCAGCATCCTTAAAGGAGATCACTGGCACAGAGTCATTTGAACCTCTGCTTATGGTGTCGTGAGCTCTCACACCCGTTTTGTTTTCCAGAGCATCAAAGCTCCTGTCATGATCTGGGGCAGAAAATAATGGCTTCAAGGGTTCCGATTTAAGGTTATATAATTTTTCTCCAAAATCAAGCCCCAGAAGCTCACTGGTGCTATCTTTACTGTCTATTCTAAAGAGTTCCATGGGGCTGTTCTTTGATTTATTTAATGAGTCCAATATCCTAGTAGGACTGGCTATTTCCGACTCAGCATCATCAATGAAAAGCTTTAGTTCCTGAGATGCAATCTGAGAGCTGAAGCCGTCACCGCCAACAACCGTGCGCGCCTGCAAACAGCATCTCTCCTTGCTATTGAGACCTTCACTCTCCAATTTGACGGCAGGTTCCTCATTTAGAGAGCCAGAATCAATCTTTTCTTGCCCATACTCGTTGCATAGTGTTAAATAACTAGTAGTGCACTCTTCCTCCGAGCTGGACGCCGAGTCCAYCCACTTGGAACTCTCTTGGCCGTCTTCCTGGTTGCTGCTGTCGTCCTGAGAGCTCGGCGTCAGGCTGCTCTTCAGGGGCACCACCTGCAGCATCTTCCCAAGGCTTTCCCTGGAATCAGTGCTGCTGCTGATTTCTTTAGGACTAGGGGTCGGCTGCTGCAGGTGAATTTTAGTTGAACTGGATGTTTTGAGTTCAGGAATTTCAAAGCTCCCTTCAGGACTTCTGTTTAAGAATTTACTGATATAAGACCATAGTTTTCCTCCTGCAACAGAAGGGGGAAAATTATTAACCTGACTCAAAACAAAAACAGATTAATTTCAACATAGGAAAACACAGTYGCTGTCAGAACACACCATCTACCTGTGCCCATGAAGCAAGCTGGATCTGCTGTCTCAGTTGGAAATAATTACAGAGACTCCAACTTGCCTTTCAAACAGATTTGTATTAATACATAAATATTTAATAGCTGCATCTGAGATTAAGCTTTTTTTTTTTTTTTTTAACTTCAATAAAGTCTCATTTCAGAGTCTGTCTCAAGTCACATGGTGGTGACTACTCTCCATCTACAGCCTCAAAAGGATGCAAGAACCAGGGAAGATCAAATGGTTTAGTGCTCTCCACCAGTTCTACCTGCACTGTACTGTGATACTTCTGTACCACACCTGCAAAATCATGAGTGACATTAGGGGAGAGAGACCAAGGAGGATTAGTTTGCAAGTTCTGTATTGGAAAGAACGACTTCATTTTAGGGGGATATTTTAAGGSTTTTTTTCTCTCTTTGAAGAACTGYTCTGTTAACTGAGAACACGTTCCTCCTTCAAAATAGTTCTCTATRGCTTGCTGCATCACACAACAATTTATGAGCACTCTAACTCACATCAGCAAGTCATTTTCTGYGCATCAGAGACTACACGTACTCCAAAAGTAATTGTTAAGTTACAAAAATACAAAAAGTGACTCTYTATGCTTTCAAATACTGCCCACTTACAGAACGCTTTTTACCAAGGACTACAAAACACAAGTCACACAGCACATCAAGAAGTTACTGGATCCTCTTGTACTTTGCTAGCCAAAGAATTTGCCTACAGTCATCTAGAAAGCTGCCCTCAATAACTTTAGGAAAAATGCTAAGTCAAGACATTTTAGTATAAAAGATTTTACAGAAGTTCTGGAAAGTACAGGAGTTCTAATAAAATCTTAATAGAAGACCTACTTCACAGAAGGGTCCATCCCACTAAGCATCTGTGAAGTTTTTTTACTTATTTGGATAATATTTTATATTATGTTTTTCCAAAATACAGTCCTTCATAGTTGTTTTTAAACAATCTTCCTATCAGGCAAAATTCCTTTAAAAAATACAACAAAAGAAGAAAGCATTTTCATTGCCTAAGAACAGGTTTTATATATTTCAAGGTATTTCAAAAATAACTTATCAAAGGCAGAAAAAACCTTGATACTTTAAAAAATGAATTTGAATAATATAATGTGGAGTTTTCTTCTTTATCCCTCTGGCTAAGACAAGACTTGTTTTTGAAGGGAAAAATAACTCTCACTGGCTATGGTGAAAATAAGTATAGCAAAAATATTAAGACAAAAATCTAACAGCTTGAGTTCAATGGTAAAGCTAGGCGGGAGAAGAATGCAAGGAGATCTTATCAATATGTATAAATACCTGAGGGGAGAATATAAGGAGGACRGGGCCAAACTCTCCTTGGTAGTGGCTAGAGACAGGACAAGGGGTAATGGGTACAAGTTGAAACACAGGAAGTTTCTTCTCCGTGTGAGGAAGAACTTCTTTAATGTGAGGGTGACAGAGCCCTGGAACGGGCTGCCCAGGGAGGCTGTGGAGTCTCCTYCTCTGGAGGTCTTCCCAACCTGCCTGGATGCCACCCTGTGCCATGTGCTCGGGGTGTCCCTGCTTGAGTACAGGGGTTGGACTAGATGATCTCTAGAGGTTCCTTCCAACCTCAGCCCTTCAGTGACTCTGTGATCTAGATCTATTAATCCACAGGATTTCTGCCCGTAAGCTACAAGTGGACATAGAAGCTTAAAATGACTCTTGCTGCTTTCCAGCAGGATGTGACAGAGAGGRCACTGCTGTTCGTCCTGAACCCTGCACTTTGTACAGAGCTGTGCTTAAATCAGTTTTTAAATTGGTTTAGTTAAAATGAAAGCAAAATGTCAATTGCACGGTCATCTATTCTTTTTCTAAATTTATGCTTTTCCACACTTATTCCTAATGAGTGATGGGGAAAGAAAATAACAGAAAAAAAAGAAGATGGGAGAAAAAAGGGAGAGCACAGGCATATTTTTAACCTGTGTGAGAAAGATCTCACCTGTGTCGCACTTTCCYCCATGACAAAGGAAGCTATACAAAAGTTCCCAAGATTCTGAAGGAACATTTTTGCAACTATTATCTTTATTTAAATTTTCCATTAGATTATTTTAASTGAACAGTCCTCTCAAAATCACTTTTCCCAGCTTATTAATTACTTATTTTCCCAGCTTATTTTCCCAGCTTAGGAATTACAGAGGGTCTGTGCACACCAAACAGCAAAACTTCCTTTGACAATCCACCCTCCTACTTCAGCCAGTATAACTACACTAACTCCTCCCATCTGCACTGTATTAATTACCAGAAGCAAATGCAAAATCCTTCCATCTCTGTATTATTTGTATTTATGACCCCAGTACTGCTTCACAAATTTGTTCTTATGAAAACACAAGTCTCAGGGGCTCTCTCTTGATGATCRTGTTTTGTCCTCCTCTACTAAGATAGGAAGGGAATGGACTGTGTAAGAAGTGCAAGAATTCTCTTGTGCTTCAAATAGAAACAAGTYAGGCTGCTCTTGGGACAACCTTTCCCTTCTGCTTGTCCCACTTTGCACGATGCAAGATGTCCTGCAGCTTCTTTAGCACCTCAGCCTCCACTAGAAGTTGCAGCACAGCTCAAGAAAGGGAGAGAGGTAAAGATTAAGAGAAGAAAGCAGACGTGTTGATATTATCTGCTCAAACCCCACAGAATCCTCACTGGGAGAGACAAAGCTATAAATTTTAGGTCAAACTTTAATTCTAAGTGCTTTCAGCAAATCCAGTCTCCCTGACTTGAAAAAAAAAAGACAAAAAGGATTTTTTTTTCATGAGAGTACTCAGGAATTCAACATTGCCCATCCATAAAAACAGACAAAACTGCAACAATGACTGGTTTTCCACTAGTAAACATGTTATTACCTTACCTTTTTAAGAAAGAAGTTGCTCATTAATAATCACTTGGACTAAGAGATCACAGTGAAAATGACTACTTACTGCAACTCCAATTTAGAGCTAAATGCAACTAAATAAAAAAAATGGTTTCTGATTATGTCCAAATACGTTTACATATAAATATTTCTAGACTGGCCTCCTGGTCAAGTGGAAATACGTAAATAAATGCTACTCAATAATTGTGTTCTATAGTGAAAAACAACAATTTTATTCCTTTTTGAAAATGTCCAATTCAGGGTCAAACAAGAGTGATATTTGTATCTGGGTATATAATTATGCCTTTATGAATGACATAGTAATAATCTTTCCCCCTCTCTCCATGTGTTGTGTAAGATCAAGAAAACCCATTAGCAAGCCATGCTAATATAGTATCAGAAATCTATAAAAACTAAAATTACAGAAATCAATCCAAACAAGTAAGCCTCAGTCACTGTCAAATTGTCTAACATACTACATAACTACAAAAGCTCTCATTTTAAGCTAAAGTTTATTAGTATTTAATACAATTTCAGAAGTATACTATTAACATAAATTATGATGAATCTTTTTTTTTTTTTATCACCAATTGACTCTAAAACCACTGCAGCTTACTCTTTCTGGGTTTATTAGGGCACGAAAAATCCCCAAATTCTACATTCTTTTGCAGTTATTCAGCGTAAAACTACTAATTAAAACTCCCCTATTTCACTGTATTTCTAACACTCCAGAGGTTCTATCTGTGTTTCAGAAGCAGAATCTAAATAGTTAGTATCCAAATAATCATGAAGCCATTTCAACACAAAGTGATCAAGTGATGAAGCTGGCTAGGCATCTTGTTAATTCCACAATTTTTATATCTTCTTTCAAACATTTCTGCAGTTTTCTGTTATTAATAGTACTTTGAAGTGGAAACATCAAAGACCAGAAGATACAAAGACTATGCAGGACGTATCATTAGGATAAAAGGCAACCTAACAGATCAGCAAATTTAGTCTCCTACCATGTTTTTATTCTAGCTGACAAGAAAAATTCATGACCTGTTGGATTTTTTCTCATCCAATGCTYGGACACTTACCATTTTAACTTCACATCCTGATAGACTCGCTAAGTGGACATATTCCAAAATAAATCATTTGGTTTTGTTAGCTTGGCCCGTAAGTTTGTTCTGAAGAACAATATATTTGATTCCTGCAGAACTGGAATGTGGTAATCACTGTATTTAGGATAGCCCAAASAAAATCAGACCCAATAAGCTGGGCTTCCAAATAACCATGATCAAATAGGGAAGTAAAAACAGCAGTACTGAAAGGCATCCGTTGGAGTTATCCTCCGAAACCTTGCCAAACCCTCTGAATTCCCTCTGAAGAATTTGTTTAGGGTCAAGCATGCCAACGATAAGTCAGGTGACCCATGTGAAATAACACCCTTCCTTATTTAAAACAAAACAAGCCCTACCCTTAGAGTTTTCTTGGAATCACTGCCCTGCTTTTCAGCGCACACAGGAGCTCAACAAACGTCCTCATGCTAACGAGCAGTGACAGGACACAATTATGTGTGTGCAGGTCCTGGSTGCTGGGGGAACCAGACGGGCAGGCTCTGTCCGGGTACCACAACGATGCTTCACAGGGTGCAGGGGCTGCGGCGTACGCAGGAATCGGGAGCTATCTCCAGCCTAATCTCTGACATGACAGTAGTTACAAACACCAGTCTCTTACGTATTCCACTGCTTCCACTGCTGCTGGTGAATCTCTGCTACAAAGTTTGCTGGTTTAGGCAAACTTCCCACTTCCTGAGGCGCTTCTAGCAAATGCTGTTATTTCAAAGCAGCCTCCTGRAAAGGCTCTTGCCGAGGGCCAGATCACCTTTCCTACACTTTCTGACCTCTGTCAAATCTTTACAGCTACTACTATCACCCTTCCTAGCTACAAACTCTTGTCTTTGCAAGCCAGAATGCTTCTGCACTGTTTTCTATCAGTTCCCACGTGCAGCAAGCCTCTTCACAGTGAAGTTTCTCGAGTGCCCTCCAGATTGATAGGAACTCCAGCTTGCTTCTGCTTAAAGAGGTTTGACAGTTTCTAACAGCCACTTAAACTCTGATGTCCCATGGAAGCCCCCCAGCCTATTTCTGAAGCATCTGTTTCTAAAATTTCTGGAGTTATTAGTGCCAAGAAGTAGTGAGGCCTTATTAACATCACATTGGCTCTCTACCACACTAGGACTTGCCAAGTGCTTTCTGACAAGGCAGAGACGATGTTATGGACTTCTTTGCTTCTAAGACATCTCAGAAGCTTCCAACTGTGGACACACACAAAAAAAAAAAAGCCTAGGAGAGGACCAAAGACATCACTGACAATTTCTGGGCATACAATAAGCTCATAACATCAACATCCAGAGCAAGAGTTTAGGCTCAAGCTCTCAGAATCACAATAGTTGTGAATTTAAAAATACAGTTAAAATTTATTGCAAACAGAAATAGCAAGTTGCTTAGTAAATACATAATGTCTGTATATAACACTGAAACCTCATCTGAACTTGCTATAATTCAAGCCACTGTTTACTTAAACTAATATTTTACCCTTGAACTTCCTGATATGCCAGTACAACTGGTATACTTAACATTAAATAACCACAAAACTATAGATATATCTAAATCTGACTGACAGCATATCCTTTTCTATTGGAACAGAACTATGGGGAGTTTGATATAAGAACATTCATAAAGTTACAGAATAAAATTTTAGAGTCTATCACCTAAACCACATTGTCCTAGATGTTTTCATCCTTTCCTGAAATGAAGTAAAATCACTATCTCTGTTTATACTTAATTGGAGGTCTATATATATATATATATTTTAAGTATGCTTTATCTGCAAGATTCGTGATTCCTATTTATGTTTGTAATTTAAAGGATATATTCCACTATCAAAAGACTGATTTGTTCAAGGGCATCAGATGGATGAGCAAGACTGCATCTAGGACAGCATAAGCTCACCTCTATTTTCCCCCAACTTGGGCATTTCTCCTGAATCACTTTGCAGCCCTAGTCTCCTGTGACTGAGTGAGGTTCACAGGTCATGGTGGTCTTAAAACCACACCAAAATATGGCCCTGGTTGGGGACAAGGGATCAGGTCCAACATCTGCAATGAACTCCTTGTATGCATCATCAGGCGATTGACTCATCACTTGCCTACAGCATGTGAGAGGAAACTTTATTCAGTTTATAACCTACACCAAGGGTAATTAAGCTGTTGCAGCAATGAGAAAAATGGACACATTGCATACTCAGAGCTCATTCATTTAAGAGCAGAAACCTCAGCTTACCACTTGTGATGGATGGAGTGTCTTCCTTAAGAATATGTGATTCTCTCCTACTCATCCTTGACATGGTTACAAATCCAGTGAAATGTCCCTGGCCTTAATGATTTGCTTTTAACAACACCTGCTATAACGAATGCTTTCAGTTCCATACTGAAAGAAGCTTAAATTTCCTAAATGCCTGCTAAATAAAGTTTCTACAACATTAAGTCTCTTAATTTTTTGCTTTCTATATGTGACCACTACTCCTTCAAATTCCATTACTTCTTCATTCTATTTTCCATCTCTCCCAAGAAAGAAMACTCTTCCTGAATAGAAGAGCAAAACTGCAGGCTCTTTAGAAGACATTCAGGAACATTTTTCTGGTTATTATTCGGTCTTGTCTTTACTCCTTATCAATAGTCAAGTTTAAAGTCGTGTGGTATTTGACTTTGTTTTGTTTTGTTTTAGTATTTCTCCAGACAAAATGTATTGACTTCTATGCAGGTAATACTTCAGGTAATAGTTACTAAGGTATTTGSCTGAATTATGTACACCTGAAGAAAAGTACCACGGCACAGAGCAGCACTGAAAGCCCTTGAAATCACCATCAGGCAGTACTGCAATATGATGCAATATTTCTTCATGCATCTCTGCTCATGGTAAAATTAACTTACATACAGCAGAAACAGCCATTCATGTTGTAAAGGGTGTCATTCACATGATAGAAGTTGTTCTGCAAAAGCAAAAGCCTAACTTATTAGAAACAAAGAAATAATAGTCAATTTAATAAAATTATCCTCTCTATAAATTAGTTCAGTGCTTTCCTATCATCCATTCTGACTGAATTATTAACACTTCCTAAAAAAAGGTCTACTAGCAAGCCCCAAATTTATATTCTGTCCTCATTCTAAACAAAAAGGGGTAATTATATTTAGGGAATATTTAAATCCAGGTGTTAGATGAAAAAAATCAAAACGTAATTATTTTTTGCCACCTGTTCTCTGTACATTTAACAGGAATTTTATAAATAGTTTGAAGGCACAACTCTGTGGTTCTGCTTTGAACTCCTATATGATGCCACTAGCTATTTTCTTTAAAAACCCAGATCAGAATAACTATGTAATGTTAGGTAATAGGCAAATGTTCTTCCTTTTTAACAGAGAGTTATTAAACTCTTGTGGGGATACTTTTCATTTTAACTGTAAGATGTTAAAAAGGTTTGCTTGCCAAAGTATGCAAAAGTAGCCAAAGACTTTATCTCCCAGAAATGACTGTAAATACTGCAGAATTTTGTTGCTGTCAAACCACTCACTCTCCTATAGAAAATAAACAGTTGGAAGCTTTCAATATTGCTAGAATTCAAGTAACCCATCGGGATTTGAGGCTGTTTGTAATAGGAATCAGATCCACTACAAGGGAGGGAAAAATGGGAGGGAGGGTGGGGGGTGTCTTAAATGACATCTTCACTCTTAAAAATATTTTAATTTGAAGTATAAGAGATTAGCTGGACACTGAAAAAGACCAGTGATTAAAACGTAAAGCTTTGACTCTCTCCAGCAATACACTTAAACCAGAAACAAACCTTCTGCGTGCTGTAGCACAAGAAAGACAGACTCCTCGGAGATGATGTACTTGTGCAGACACACCATGTTGGGCACGCAGCGGGGGATGATGGTCGTTCTGCTCCTGCTGTACTCACTACTTTTCCTTAGACCCTGACAGAGAACAAAAAGGTCAGTTGTACCCTCAGTTGCCTTTGGAGCCTGCTGTGCTCTGTGTTTATCAACCAAACTAATCTATCCGAGTTACTCTGGGCTTCAGAGAAACCACTCATCTGCTGCTCTATGCCCCTCGGTCCCCCGAGGCTGTGCTGATGGCATCTGGCGCTTTTCCAGAGAACAGAAGATGGCACAAAGCTGCCATTAAAATCAATTACATGGGTCAATGTTTTTATTAGAATCTCTCTCAAACTAAGTCATCAGGATGACACTCCGTTATTTCCCTGTGACCTTTTTTTTAAGTTTTATTTTTTTTTGCGTGACCAAAAGACACTGTCAAAATTCAAGTTCCGAAGACAAAAGAACACCTTTGCTTTACAGGTAATCCTTAGGTTTTCAGTGTATGACAGTAAAGACAACAACCACCACAACAAAAAGGAAGGGAACGGATTAGTCTCCTTGAGAGGTAATGATTTTTGGGAGGTAGCACAGAGATGAAGTTGCCAGGAGTGAAAAAATTGATGTGGGAGGGAAAAAGGAAAGGGASAGAGAAAGAGAAAAAAAATGTATGTCAATAGTGTGACCTATTACAATATTGATAAACATAAGCAGTTAAATGGGAAATTCAATGTTACCCTATTGGCCAGCAGATAAAGTGAGGTTCCAATATACAATATTCACAACTATTCCCTTATGAGGAACAAACAGTTTTCTGCACTTTGCATATATGTAAGGTAAACGGTTTCAAAGGCCAGAAGTGCAAAGTTAAAGCAGAATTTACAGCCAGACTTAAAGCAAAGTTACAAAATTTAACAACCAGTTATAGCTCCCTGTTTGGGACACACTTTTTCAGGCCCTCTTACCATCAGCCATGCATATCTCATAAACCAGAACTAAGGGCCATGAGACTTGGACTCAACTAATTCCCAGCACCAAGAATGTCAGGATCTTGATCTGAGCACTTTTTGGAATACAAAAGGTTAATCCGAAAAAAAATAGTCCTGACAATTAACTGTCTGTTGATTCAAAAGTTAATAACATTACTCTCAGACGTGGGGGCTGACAGATTTGACATAAAAAACCTAAGAAAGACTTTTTGGATAAGACCAGTGTTCCATTTTATCCAGAGTCCACTCTGGCCAGGATCAAACCCTTCAGCTGAGGGAAGCCCAAAGWGAATGGTGAAGAGCTGCGGCATCACTCAGGCGAAGGGCAATTTTCAACTCAACTTACTTACTTAAAAACTGGTGCACTCCCTAAGCTACCATGTCTTTTAAGAAACACACTGTAACTGCAATTCTTTACCAAAGCCTGCTAAGGTATTGGCCTCAATAACTCATGTCAGCTCAAGTGATTAAACCTGCATACAAGCACAACAGGGAGGTTACGCAGAGAAAAGAATGGAAAACAACTGAATACTTAGGAAAAGAGAAGATAAATTCCAGCAGGTAATGCCAGGGGTATAAGTATTAACATAGCAGCACAACAAAGAGATAASTCTATATATTAGATGCAAGACATTCTCTGCATGGTGTACATTACCATGCCAAACTATTTAGAGATGCAATAAAATATTTTACTCACCTTCAGTATAAAAGTCTYCTGTGTCCTAGTGTCCATTACAAGCAAAACCTATGCAAAATACATTTAGAAAAATATCTGAGTCACATAAGTTAACCAAATGTCCCCTAATGTTGAATATGCTTACAAAGAAAGTGGCACAAGTCATGAATTTAAAAAAAAAAAAAAAAAAAAAAAAAGTCCTGCAGCATATTAGTAACACATTTTTAAAGCATATTTTTTTTTAGGAAAGAAATATGGTTGAGGATAGACATCCCTATAGATACACTTCTCTGGTACTAGAATGTCATCTCATTCCCCAACAGTTAACTAAAAAAATGAATTCTACTTTAATTCAAAAAATAGCCCTTTATAAATGCAGCTATAATTCAGCAGAACCCAAATTATAACAACATAAAGAAGCACAAAAAGTARCTTTCACATAGCATCATCCTCCTATATTACCTCATTGTAATTTGGTTTTCACCTCACTGTACTTACCTTCCCAGTGACATATTTTTTCCAATTAGGCTTCCTATACATAAAATCTGTTGTCTATCAGTGGGTTACAGGAGGGTTTTTGTTTTGTTGAGGTAACTACAAAAGCCCCTTTCCAGGAAGCTCACCTGAAACCACACACACATACCCAGAGGCCACAAAAATATGTTTTACCAACACCACAGTCACTGCTGCCTCTTTTCATCAGCTGCTCTTTTGTTTTGCAGCATCCGTAAGCTGCAGCAGAAAAGCCTACAAGGAAGTCCAGCTCTAAACCATTTAGGCAAAGAAAAAAAGCTGCAGAAAGGAGAACATCTGCAGAACATCCCTGTTACACCGTGCCTTACCGCTGCTGAAAGCACTTACTTTAGACACAGCACACTGATGACAGGGGTACTAAATACTGCACTGCCTCTTCGCAAGCTCCGTTGATTCAGGTGGTGAAAATAAGCTATATATGTGTAGCTACCTATACACAGCACCCAAAGACCTACGTCTTTGGGGAGCTGGGGCTCTGGCCGCCGCAGAGGGCCCGACTTGCTTTCAGACCGTGAGCACAGAGAGGCCCGTGCCAGGCCCCAGCTGCAGCACTGCTGTGCAAACATGGCCTGTCCTGCTCCTGAACACCAGCAAGGCCCTGCTTATTTACCACAGACACCACACACTCCCAGTACAAACAGTCGCACGTGTTTACAACAAAATATTGGGCTGCAAAAGTAAGAACCAAAGGGCTGTCGACGCCAGCCCTGGGGGTTGGCACCCACATTTGAGCTGCACAGGTGAAATGCAGCGACTCAGTCTRAAGGACTAAGGCCAGGCCTGCACCTTGAGCTGCTCCCCACGATGGGAATGGGGTGAGAGCCATGAGGGGCTGTGCCCACAGCAAGGTRTGATGCAGACAATGAGAATTACACTATTTCTGAATCATTTTTCTCTCTGCTAAGCACAAAGAGAGTTCCACAAATCAAAGAACAAACAGAAAAAGTGACAGCACTGCTCCATCTCAAGGACCGATTTTAAAGACCTTTTGCAAACAGTGACAATATCAAAGTCTTCTCAGGAAAGTCTACAAGGATCTGTGCCATTCAGGGAACCTGAGGAGGGTATGAGCAGTAGTAGCGCAATCTCCGTAATACACCCCATGCCTACTGAACGTCAATATTGAACGTGATCATTCAAGTATAAAGATTTTAACATGTTTGCTTTTTATTAGAGCTGCAAATGATTTTAAAAGCTATTTTATATCTTCTGGGGAAAACATCAACAGAAGTTACTGCTGCTGAGATTTATCAACAAAGGAACCACAAACAGTTTCCACCTCAGAGGGCACAACAAGGAAGGACAAATGTCCCTAGGCCACCAAGTTTCCCAGACAGCTTTTCAGGTCTCTTAGGGGCTTCCAGAAACAATGGAAACCATCTGAATATATTATTACGATAAAATTGTTTTTGCTCTCAGAAGGTGTAAGGTTAAAAAAATATATACAATATACAATTGAAAAGGGGAAAAATAAAACAAAAGCCACCTTACAGGAGATGCTAAAACAAGACAGACAAAAATGGTTAGGAAATGATTATTTGTTTACAGTCTCTTTCTCTCTTCTCGAAAGTTTGTTTGTAACGAGACACTGTTCACATTGAGGCAATAAATACAAGAACATATGTGATTTTTTTTTTAAATGTGCCCTTTGACTGTCAATATCTCCCAAACAGGTGTTGGCTAAATGATTATAAATTGGCCTCTGGATACACCTCTTCAACTGAGCCGTACAGGACTGGCGATAATATAATTAGACGTAAAAACATCAGGCTGGTGAACGCTTTCCATCTGTTTGGCAATAATGTTTAGTTAACAATAGTCTTTAAAAGAAGCACCTTCAACTTCAGTTCTTCAAGTTATTTATAGGGCCATTCTTAACACCCCAGCACTCTTGCTAACAAGAGCTTTAGCCACTTGGAAATTATTAGCCATACGGCTGTATACAAAAAGGAATGGCTGCATTTAACATCTGTATCTCTCCAGATTTACATGCATCAACCTCATTTAAAGTCTCTCCTTAATGAACAGTTCCRTGGTCTGTATTAATATTATAGTTACACGCACAAAGATCATAAGGAGCCAAACATTTTTTTAATACCAACAGTAGGCCAATCAGTAATGAAGCTGTCAGCATAAAGGACAGAATAATAGCTTCTTTAACCCTCAAACAGGATTTGTTCATTTGTAGAGTAGAAGACACCAATTTAAAAACTGCTCATGGGTTCGCTCACCTTTATAAAGACAAAAATCTAATTTGGTACTAATTTGATACAATTGTCTTTCCAATAAAAGGCTCCTAAAGCCATCTTTTATTTCATGATAAAACAACTGCTAAAACTAAAACTGTCACGAAATAATTACCTTTGATAGCATACCTTATTGCACAAATACAATTAATGTATTCCTCCCTTTCATTTTTCACACTTGSTTATCAGCACTGTACTAGCATATGGTGCACCAGAACAGATTACTGAGCCTTCACCATATAGGAAGACATATAGAATGACTACCGCTAACTGGAATAAAGCAGACAACTGGTCCCTTTAGGGCTACCTTCATCTGTTATACTAGCAGATCAAAACGAAAGGGGCAGCTACAGCTTTGCAGCAGTAATAACAACGGACAATAGTCCCGTGCCTTTGAACTTAACTACCTAGATGGACCAACCAGTCTTCCTAATCAGCTCCTCTCTTTCTCCTTCCCAACACACATTATATCTTTCCTTTTTTTCCCAGTATTTTTTCCTGCTTTTCCACTAGTGAAAACAGCAAGCAGCTCGGAATATAATCTATAGATCYATTTCATTTAAAGAGAAATTCTTTGTTCGCTCAATCCCTACCTTTCTGCAAGGCTGTTTATTTCACAAAGGGTCCAAGCAGCCCAGGGAGAATCAGAAAATGCACTTTAGAAATTCTCCTCCGGGTACCCCATTTGACCCAGATACATTGCACGGGCCCACTAAACCCAAAAGTCATTTCCACGAGAGGCAGTGTGTGCAAATTCCTAAAGAGGTGGTTTAACCAAAGCCACCCAATTAAGTACACAAATCAATTAATCACCAATAAAAGGGATAAGACAAAGAAAGAGACTGCTGCAAGCATATTTGCTCAACTTATTTCCACACATACACAGCAGAGGCAGGTGAGCAACTCTTGGTTACAATACCGGACTGCTGCAGAAGTGCACACACATAGCTCTGCCCCTGGCCCAAATACCTACTTTTTCTCCTCATCTCATATCTCACAGCCAATTCCTTTACAGTAGCACCATCCCAACCAGTCATTTCTGTTTGCATTCCTTTACACTGCTTTCTCATTACACAGGGGGAGGACAGGCATGTTCTTCATTATTTTTTTGCAAGGTTTCCTTTTAAAATGAAAACCGGCAAACTGCCACAACCAAACMAAACAAAATTCCACTTAACGCTCCCTGCTGCATAACTCTATCCCCTTCCAAGCAGGTCACACAGAGCTGCCTATTCCTGGCTTGCGTAGGCTGGTTGAACCTGTTTCTATGAGGATGACTACAGTGTAACCTACAGTATTTAATACCTCAACTGTAATATTCAGCATCCTATCTCAGAGAGAAGGGGGGAAAATGCCCAGCAGGACATTCCTGGGCACTGAGCAACTMGCCAACGACGCAGAAGGAGACAAGGCAAAATCCTATTTGTAATACCAGTGTAGAAGCCAGTGTCAAGGTCTTTGCACCACGCTGGCATTTCTAACACCTTTGCTTACTCCTTGTGCCCCTTCTTTTGTGTGTCACAAAGCGGCCAAAAACACTGACAGGCAAAGAGCAGTTGCCACAAATACAAGGTATGCGAGCGTCTTCAGCAGCACAGAAATCCCATGGGTGTTTTATGTAGCACCTGAGCTCTCAGACACATCTCAAATCCCAGAGGAACACAGCGAAACTGCAATGGCAATGTCTCAGCAAAGTAGGGAAGAGCAATAAACCTGTGGGATGGAAAATAAAGACTTCCTGCCTTTTTTTTTCCTTTTCTTCTAAGTCAAGGGTTAATTCTGATGCTGACAGCAGCTACTTTAAAAAATTAGCTTCTTAGCTTTGATTTATAGTGTATCGAACAGCTTAGTGGAAAATAAATTAAATTTAATTCAGTACAGTAGGTACAATTAATTGGAGAAAAATAAAATAAAACCTGACTGGTAAATAACCATAGTTTAGCTTTAAGAAAACAGTTAATTTTAGGACCCTTTAAATGCACAGAAATTAGCAAATGTTTCAGTATGCTAATTTTTTTTTAATTAAAAGATAGTTCTGCAGTAAAAGCTCTTTCATATGCACTACTGATTCTTCATCAAACGTTAAGTTTCCAACTTAACACCAGTATAGCCGGTGGCAGCCTGAAGGTTTACCATCTGCTGCCACCCAAAGTCACGGTGGCCACCTTCAGAACATATGCATCAAAGCCCTGAGATGAGAGCGCCAAGGAAGACTGCAGAAGTCAGCATAAGGGGAAGCACAAACCCAGAGGCAGGCAACGGGCAAGGCACCAGGAGCAGGGAACGTGG